GCATATGTATTTTTATCAGACTAGCTGTTTTTTCAAGGTAGATATTTATTGGAAGCTAAAAGAGAACACACTGAATCCAGCAGCCAAAGAGCCAATTAGGAAACTGTGACCCTCGGCATACTGTCCTACTGCTGGTCAAAGCTGTACCAGTGGTAGTGCTGCTAAGATTCTAGGACTGAGAAGAAGACTGAGAGCAAAGGCTTGTAACAGCTGGACCACACCAGTCTGTTAGCATGACCAGGCCGCTGCCTTGCTTCTGAAACTATGTGGGCTCCAAAAGAGAAAACCATTTCACAAGAAGTCAACAGGGTATGCTCCAAAGTCAAGTTCCTGACTTCAAGTCATGGGTTCAGTTCTTCCCACTCATGTGGTTATATGTGAGGCAGCAAAACTTTATACCTGTTTCCTTGACTTTGGAATGAAGGCAGTAATATAACTCCCCATTCACAGCTTTTCAGGGCTCATTAGATGAGACAGTCCATATAGGTGCTGTACCTAACCCATAGGGTTGTAAATATTCAACACGATAATATAATATTGTAAGTATTCAATATGATAAGAATAGCTTCTAGATCAGTGGTTATCAACCTTCCTAATGCTGTGACTCTTTAATACAGTTCTTCACACTGTGGTGACCCCCCCCCCGCCATAAAATTATTTTTGTGGCTACTTCATAATTGTAATTTGCTATTGTTATGAAATATAATATAAATATCTGTCCTTTTCAATAGTCTTAGGTGGCCTCTGTGAAAGGGGGCCATTAGACCCCCTGAGGAGCTGGGATCCACAGGTTGAGAATGAGAACATTATTGCTTATGGCTACCAACTGAGGAGAACATTCTAGTACCTACAAGAAGTGCCTAGCTTTGGGAGGCACATCTATGGGAACAACTTAGAGATATGTTCTCTGCTAAGGGCATGATAGAAGTAACAGTTCTGCCATGAGGCTGCCCACTATTAGCATTATGATTTTTTTTCCAGAAAATATTCAGGGGGGACAATTTCCAAGAATATTTCATAGTTGTTTTAAGGCCAACATTAGCTTCCAAACTGAAGGAAACTCTTCATTCTTAATTTGGGGATTTCCATTAAGACCTCAATGACCCAGAATTTCCCACTAGTCCCTGGTATATTTCTCAGGAACTGGAAAGGGCATCTGAAATTGACCTGAAGTCCAAGATTGGTGAATTATCATCAAGTCTGAGAGACTGAAGGAACCAACATGCTAGTGAGTTGGAGAGCAGCAAACAGTGTTGAGTTGACATCTGTTTTAGGTAAAACAGAGATTAAATTATAATTAGAAGTATTTTCAGTGGAGCAGAAAGAAAGATGGGAAACTAAAATCTATCCAACAACCTATCAAATTCTTAGGACTCAATAAATCAATTTCAAATACGTAGCCCAAATATGATCAGTTAAAGGTCTTTTCTTCTTGTGACTCTTTCTTGAGGAGAGCACATTTGTGCTCCCGTGTGTTTTAGTTTCTTCCCAGATTCCCCTTTCGCTCTTAACTGTTGTCCTTAAGAAATCAGGTAGTAGGCATGATGTTAAAATGATGAAGGAAATACGCATTTACTAAATAGATCCCACAAAAGATTGGAAAACTTGGGTTTTTTTTCCCCAATTAAAGATGAAATTAGTCCTCATGACTTCAGTAAACTAAGGATGATAAGAAACATAGGTGCTGTGGACGTTGCTTGGTCCTCTAGGTTCTCTACCACCCCACTTTGTCCTATAGCTCAGAAGTAGACAGTAGGAAACTAGATAGTGGGTCATTTAGAAGCTCCACAAAATAGGAAGCCATTGTTCCCATGCTCAGAATTCCTAAGACAGTGATACACAATTCCCATCCTTTGCCAGTGAGCCCCTGAACAGAACATGAGTGCTAGGAACTATCTGTGCCCCTTGTCCCAAAATCTCTATGTTGGAACTCCACTCACCAGTGAGATGGTACTTGAAGATGGGGTCTTTGGAAAGCTCTCATTATAGGATTGATGCCCTTATCAGAAGAGACCATGAAAGCGTTGTCCCCTCTCTGCCTCATGTGAGGATGTAGCCAGGATCAGCACCCTCACAAGTAACTGGGTGGACAGGCACCTTGACCTTGGACTACCCATCACCCATGATTATACAGAAATAAGTTTCTGTTGTTTAAGCTACTTGGGCTACAGTATGTTTTGTTAAAACAACCTGAATGACCAGGACACAGGGTATACCAAGTCTAGCTTCCCTTTGTCTCTTTAAGTAGGAAAATGTTATCAATGATACAAGACAAAAAGATGGTGGATCCACTTGGTGTGACTTGGTGTGAACTTCTAACTAAGAAAGAAATGGACTAAAATAAAAAAGGAATTATAGTAAGCATTAGTAGACAATGTCCATTTAATATTATATATTATTTTTATAAAATTATTAAGGCAAATATGCCATTTGTATAAATAAAGAGAAATGTTTATTAAGCATACCAATGGCCCACTGTGTACAAAATGACACTTTGTACATAGTGTCTTATGTCTTTCTTTTTTACAACACTAAGGCAAACATTATTATGGTATTTGACAACTGAAGAGGGCCATCTGAGTATACACAGGAATTAAATAAGTTATCGAAGCACACAAGGTAAACAATTGGCAGAAATGTCGGCTATAATTTCAAAAATTATTATTATTATATTTATTATAAAAATAATATTTCATCTCAACTCAGAGCCCCGTTATCCCATTGAAACTCTGTGTACTACTGTTGACGTTTATTAAATCTTAAGATTTTCCAAAATGAACTAGCTCTGTAGATCAGGCTGACTTCAACTCAGAGATCCACCTGCCTCTGTCTACTGAGTGCTGAGGGATTAAAAGTCATGGCTGGGCAAAAGGAGATGGGGAGGGACTCTTAAAGTTGCTCGGACTGGGATGCGGTGAGGAGGAGAAAGAAGGATCGCCAGATGGATAGATGTAGGAGCTGCAGGAGATAAAGCCAACCAGCCATTTGAGATTTCGGGTAAGTAGCCACTGGCCACTTTCTCGACTGGGCTTAGGGTAGCGGGCATTGAGCTAGCCAAGACACTTCAAAAATAAGCTGATGTGTGTGTGTGTTTTGCATTCTTGGATCCAAAGAGCTGCTGGGTGTGTAGCTGGAAGCACACAACCCACTGGGCGCATAAATGGAGTAGCCAAAAACTCACCGCTACAGGTAACTATGACCAATTCATATTTTAATAAGCCACCCTTTTCTATATTGTGAAGAAGAACCAATTACTTTGAAAGTTTCTCATGTGTTGATTTGTTTGCTGTTCTGAAATTCTTGGGACCAGAAGTATTTTGGATTCTTCCCAACTTAGGAATGGGACCTGGACTTCCCTGCTGGAGGACTTGTAACATAAGAACCAGGAACCAGAAACTTTCTGACCATGCTAACAGTGTGCTCAAAAATATGTCACATTTTAGAGAATTTCTAACTGAATACAATAGCTGTCACCTGAAGCACTGTGGTCTCTATCAATAATGATGTCTTGGGTCCCTTTGAGCTACTAAGGAGGGATTGGTAATGTTTTATTAAAACACCTTTATTGCTTAGATATTTATCTCTTATAGTACTGTGTGGGTCACACTTAATCAGCCTGTGCATTTCTGGTCACTGGAGGGTGGTAGTCGAGACCAGAGTCACAATCACTGACACAGTTACAAGGTCAAGGTCATTGATCTTTTCCTTTCAAAGTAGCATCTCTCTGTGCAGCATGCTGGCTTTCAGTTCCACATTGGCCTCAAATGAACAATGTTCTTCCCTTGTCTCAGTCTCTTTCATGCTATGATTGTAAGCATGCCTCACCATGTTGGGGTGGGGGTGGGGGCTCTTTGTTTGTTTTAACAAACAAATTTCCCTCTTTGACAGTGGTTAGCAAACTTCCTCGCCTGGTGCATAAGAAGCAGATGGGAGTGTTGTCTTAAAATAGAAGTCTGTTTCCCACACCCAAAAGTTCTGCTTTAACTTGTCTGAGGAAGGGTGGAGAATCAGTCTTTGACTCTAGACCTTGCCCTCACCCCATGAAGACTGTCCTCGTATACTCTAGCATTGTGGGAGAAATAAGATTAGCAGGTCACTAATACAGTGATCTTTGGCACAGGTTAAAACAAAATGATTCGAACCTCACAACACAGCGTGAACTTCGTCCCAGAATTGACAGGAGTGAGTGAGGTAATTGGTGGAGAGTATAAATTCATGTTTCCATCCATGAAATTCAAAAGTGACAATTAATTTTCCTTCTCTCTCTTAAAGAAGAACCTATCCTAAGTAAGCTAAATGGCCCTTTAGAAACTACCACTTGAACGTTATACCTATCAAGAATTATTTCTGAATTCGTCTTTAAATATCAAGTATGTTTCAGATGGACATTTTCATTCATGGCTAATAATGAGATTTAGGACAAGTGTGAATCTTTATCCCAAGACACATTCATTACTGAGGTCCCAAATCAAGAGTACAAACATCATATGATGTTCAGATGTGCTACATGCCTCCTGAGACATTTAAGGGGACCAGTCCTTCATTAACTTATTTTTTAAAAAGCTTTTAAGGCTTAGCAACAGGCCCTACATAACTGATCCTACTTCCCAGAAATGAAACATGCCCAGACAGACTGAATAACAAGTTGCAGGACAGCCTGTGCTAAAGAGGGTGACTTATCTTGAAACAAAGAAAGAGTAAGGAATTATTATTTTTCCCCTTGGGTATGGACCCAAGAATTATTGCTTAATGATTTAAAATATGCAAAGGTATTTACATTAAAATGAAACTCTCCCTCTAATCCTTCAGCTCACCATTAAATCTTCCTTCCCCAATGGCAAACACTGCAGGTAGTTAATATTTTTAAGGAGATATATATATATAAAAGATATATATGTTAAAGATGTTTTAAAATAGATTTTAAGCATAAAGAAGAGACATATAGAATGACTACCAGGAAACACCAATGTAGGTTTTTCTGACAGAATCTCCCAGAAATGATTCTTTTAAACACTGTGTTTATTTTCACAGAGGCTTATTCCTTTGCAGATAACAATTTGAACAATTAATAGAACAGATAGCGCTGTTCTGTTGAAGTCACAGTTTGCTAAGCGCCTACTCTGCTGATTTCCACAGCCAGGTCTCTCTGAGGGCAACAGGATTAGTCTCCAAACACAAAGAGGTATGCGTCTTCCTGCTCACACTCCAACATGAACACATGCTCCTGAAAGTAGGACCCCGGATGCTGCACTGATGAAGCAAAGAATCATTTTATGAAATAGAAATAAAACAATATCTCAGAGGTCTCATCTTCACAAAGATCTACAGTAATTTTGAAACACCCACCAGCTTCATTTCTCTTGAGAACTGATCAAGAGAGAAATGATCTTTTACAAAGTTAATAAGCAAATTGATCAGCGAGCTCAGGTGCTTTCTCATTGTTCTCAGTCATTTGCGTGCTGTAGCCAATAGAGTGAGCATGTTTGTTCTGACCACATTGTGAAAATCTAACATGTGCTCAACTGTGTTCTGTCTCTCTCCCACACGCTGCCTGCAGCCTGGGCTATAAAGTCCCAGTAACAAGAACAGGGCTTCAGGAGGCTCCTTTGTGTGAACAGAAGGATAGATCTTCTCTCTTAATTTTAATAGTGCACATCCTCAAGTGCAAATCTGTATTTGCTTCTTATTGAGAACTGGTACAGGATCCTAGAGATGATCATAACTATACCATATCCACGGGACATCTAACCCAGCATCTCTGAGGTCTGTTATATACCTTCCATAAAAAAATCCTAAAAGCAAAGGCAGTCTTAAAAACCATGTCATGATGGTGTCTCTTCCTATTGCCTTTGGCTGCCCTCCCATATCCCTTGCTATCTCATTCCTTTCTAGGCTAGCATAGACTCTGATCCAAACACATTGTCCCTCTCTGTTGTGCTCTGCAGGTACCTATGGGCTAATTCATCCCCAGTGAAGAACACAAAGAATTGTTATACATGGCTAACTGTCATGATAGAGCCAACAGCAGTTTACCCATTAGGTGTGTGTGTGTGTGTGTGTGTGTGTGTGTGTACACAGTGTGACCTTCCCCACCTTCTCATGTACTCCCAGATGGATTACATGTCACTGAAAGACTAAACATCACAGCATGTAAGTCGATCTGAGGTCTTGGAAATCAGGCACACTTGGCTGCACTAAATGTTTTACTTTGGCTCAGACTCTTCCCATTGCAAAGAAGGACAGACATTACAGTCACATCTCTAGGCTTTGCACAGAAGAAAGACGGGGAAATGGCATTCTCTGTACTTCTGAGCATCTGACTTTCCATGGGTTACTAACTCACCCTGTGTGTCTGGGGACTGGAGCTGCAACTTTGGATAGGCCAGTTGCTCACAAGCACAGCTATTATTATACAGCTATTATGAGTGTGCACCAATGCTGCTGGCGAAAGAGGACACACCCTGGGTGCTTTGGTCAGCATGAGTTAGGTCTTCCAGAACGGTTGGTCACTCTCCAGCTGAGCCTGCCATACAAGGAATATTTTTCCAGGGCCCTTTTCGGTACCACAAGTCCAATGTTGGTTGGCTAGTCAGCTACTGACTTCAACTAGGGGTTGGAGAAAGTTTAGGCTGGATCAGGGAAGGAGTGGTGGCCAGGCAAGTCACTGGAGAGGATTTTGAAAGCACCCCACTGCCACCTGTGACTCCACAGTTTTTAATCGGCTGCTTGTGAGTCCCAGTCTGCCTTGACTTTCTTAAAGGAACCAGAAAGCATCATCTTAGCCAGAGGATTGTTGCTTGATACCCATAGCCAGCTAGGGAATCGTTGGGATAATGAGCCAACGAGATTCCTTACGAAATGTTTAATTGAAGATAGGGACAGAAGATGAAAAAAATTCTGCCCCTTGATCCAACTTATCTAGTGGGCAGGAGGATTCTCCAGAACCTTTCCCAACCTTCCCAAAGCCGTGAATAACACTAAACTTTCTCATGGAATCTCATACTTCAGCTATATTGGAGCAGACATCTGGTAGTGATTTATTGGCACATCGGACTGTTCAGAAAAATCAAGATAGAGTCTTAGGAAGCTACACAAAATCTACCTCCCTTCCCACCCACTTCAAAGTCTCACCCTCCCAGCAACTGTTCATCTGCATGGGCTTCTGAATCTCACACGTGGCGGTAACACGGAGCACTCACCTTAGCTACCTGGGTCTTCTACCAAGGAAAACACAGAAAGCTGAAGATCAAGCCGGATTTCCAGTGGGAATTTCCTGGCCCAGATCACCACCCTACTAAGACAAGCTCTGTCTGGAAGATAAGAGGTGTTCTGTGGGAGTGGGTGGTCCGGTGGCCCCTCCCCTGATCTTATCCATCCCTCTCTGCCCTGGCTGGCAGCCATACAGGGAGGAGGGACACTCACGTGCAAGCTATTTCTCCTAAGACCTGGCTTCACCTTGCCGGGGTGCCTCTGGCTGGCTCTTCCTGGATTTCAGCCTCATGGCTAGGAATGATGAAAAGCTAAAGCCTCTCTCAGGGGCTGGTGGGGACTCATTTTGCTAATGAAAAGGCAAAGCATGAGATGGGCAGCCCTGGATTAGAGAGTTGCTTGGCTGCTGCTTTCAAAGGTAAGCAGTCAGCAAAGCTCACTGATGGTGGCGGCTAGGACTGCCAGGAAGTGTGGGTGTGGCCAGTACTTTTTTTTTTTTTTTTTCCCCAGTGAGTGGGAGTTTAGAGGCAACTCCTTCTAAGGCTGGCTTTGTCCTGGGCCAGAAACAGGCATGAATCAGGGAATAAAGATAAGGCATAGAAATGTCTGACCACACGAGAGCACATGTGTAGGTGTGAGTGTGCACAAATTCTACCTTTCTGTCTCTAACTTAGAACTGGGTGTCCTTTATTTGAAACCTCTGTTTAATGTTTAAAAGGGCTTTGGAATTTGTTCCACAAAATGATATGAGTTCATTGTCATTTTTTTCAAACACTTTTTAAAAAGCACCATTATCTTCTTTTCTCATCTCTGTAACAAAATCTGATTCCAGCATCCTAAATTATAAAACGAAATCGAAGCAAAGCTGCCATGATTGGAATGTGGATGGCTCCCCAGACCTGAACCCTCTTCTGACCCTCCTTTCTTTGAGCAGAAATACTTCACAGCAACACGAAGGCACTTCAGTGCCCAAGAGCAACGCTGAACAAACTGGGGATGGACTGGTCATGTCAAATCGGACAGACTTGGGTTTAGATCCTGACTCTGCTGCTATAGGCAGGAAAACCCTGAGTCTTTCACTGTAGTATTTGTTCCTCAATTTCCCCACCTGGAAAACAAATGCCAGCACTTATGAGGCAGGCTACCTACAGACATCAGAAAGGACACATGGCTGTGTCTTCACACAACAGAGGGGGCAGTAGTTATCACATGAGAGCTGGATATGCACTGCTTATGAGGGACCAGAGAGAGATGACACAGAGACTCCTGATGGCTGCTCTCATCCCAGTGACACCTGAGTGCTTTGTTCATTAACTACCTTTTCAAAACAAGAATGCTGTGGGCTGAAGAGACAGCTCAGCAGTCAAGTGTATTTTCTCCTCTTACCCATGATGTAGAATGTCAGTTCCAGAGCATACAGCATTCTTTTCTGGACTCCCAGGATACTAGAAAAACTAGCAGTGCATTTATATATCTGTAGGCAAAACATTCATCCACACAAAAAATTTTAAAAAATTAAATAAAAATAAATACTTTTAAAAACCCACAAAATTAGATGTAATAAACAATCCACAGAAATAAAGAATATTGGTAAGTCATTCTGATAAGGGCCTAGTATAGAGAATGCATGAATAGCTACAACTCAAGAGCATACAAGTGAAATAAACAAATGACTTAGAAAAGTCATTTCTGAAAAGAAAACATACCAGTGGCCAACAGTCTCGTAATACAGACAGTTAACATCCTTAGTTGCCAAGGAAACACAAATCAAAGGGATGATGACACAGCCCTTCTCCACTGGCATGATAAAAATGCATCAATAGTGCAAATGAGCAAGTGTGAGCTTAAAAGCTGACACCTTCCCACACCAAACCTCAGAGTGCACCAGCCTTTGTGGAAAACCATTTGGCCATTTATAAACGTTAAACATAGAGTTATCCTTTGACTAAGCAGTTCTACTCCTCGGAATGACCCAGGGAATTGATACTAGGAATCCAAGCACAAAGTTGCCCAGAAAAAGAGATGGCTCAGCAGATATGAGCACCAGCTGCTCTCCAGATGACCTGGGTTTGGTTCCCAGCACCCACAGGTGGCCCGCAACTGTCTATAACTCCAGTTCCATGGGATCTGATGTTCTCTTCTGTCCTCCAAGGACATCATGCACACGTGTGATACATAGACATGCATGCAGCCAAAACACTCATACACATAAGATGAAATAGTTTTATAAAGGTTACACATAAGAGTGTTCACAGAATCAAGCCAACTCAAATACTGACTGAATGATGCACATATAAATTAAGTAGGTCTTAACATGTACTGTAGTGAGTCCCATAATAACATTCTATAACATCAGTGACTTGGAAGGCATGGTGCTATGTGAACGAAGACAGGAACAACATACACCCAAGAAGAAACGTCAACAAAATGTCCAACACAGACAAATAGACACAGAGAACAGATGGGTCATGTCCAAGGACCAGAAGGCAGTGACAGAATGGGGAGGGACTGTGCACAGTTGTCTTGTGGAGTATTGAAATTGCCCTAGAAAAAGACAGCATTGCAGTTTATGGTCTTTACAGACACATTTGATGTCACTAAGCCGCACACTGAAGATGACTGAAATATGTTTTATGTTATAAAAACGGCGGGTATCAGTTTAACTAAAATGTAGCGTATGCTTTTGGCTTCATTTGTTTTGACTTTATTTTCAAAATAGTCTTATACAATAGTCTAGGCTGATGTGAAACTCAAGATCCTCTTGCTCCAGTGTCTGCACTGCTGAGGCCTCGAATCACCAAGATCAACTTAATGCGGTTTGTTTTGATTTGGGACAACTTTATACCTTGTAACCCTGGATGGCCTGAAACTTGTTATGGAGGTTAGCTTTGTCTTAAATTCGAAGAGATTTGCCTGTCTCTGTCTCCCAAGAGCTGGGATTAGAGATGTGTACCATACCACCTGGCCATAATATTAGATATGTATTTCTAAAAGTAATTTAAAGCCTTTTTCCCTTCCTCCCTCCCTCCCTCCCTCCCTCCCTCCCTC